CAAGTCCTACGCAAGAGGGTTCTGTGGTGAGCTGCTCCATCAACATGTTTGTCAGACAAGATTATAAGTACAGGTTGTCAGTCTAGTACCCCGAAAATTGCGCGTGAAGTTAAAAATGTTCCGTTGTGAATGCACACAATCGGGCTTCCTGTAAACCCGGCCTAGTTACCTGGATGAGGTACGTTTAACAGCTCGTGTTATATGGCTTGTGCATTACCCGACTGATATACGTTTCATCTGCAACTGCGGTCCCAGCACGCGCGGCGCGTGGGGCTGGGGAGGAGGAGCTTCGGGGCCCGACCACGGCAAGTACTAGATAGCGCGGTCAGGCCGCGGTACTCCATGCAAATTATCTGCATGGGTCACGTGGCTGCGGCCTGGTGTGTACGTATGCCACCAAAACCGTTTGATTCACGTGCAGTCGCCGCGGGTGCTGTATGTGCATTTACGACCGACACAATTAAGACTCACGTGCAGTCGGCGTGAGTGCTGTATGCACCCTGACAACCTGAACCTATAATTCAACGTTTGTCAGAGAGTAGTTCGAGTACTGAGCACCTGGGCTCTTTCCAAAAGAATCTTTTTTTCAGAATTCGCTTTCACGACAATCAAGTTCATCCAGTGACATTTCTCCTCAGTCTAAGAAAGAGGTATGAAAATATTTTTAGTCATTGTTGCACTTCATATTCAAAAAACTTTGATTCTATGAATTATTTTTTCAGTCGCCACAAGATGCAAACCTCACTGATGAAGATGAAGATGATGAAGTGGCCGTTGAGATAATAGATCCAAGAAAGGTGAGAATGTATTTTTGCAACCTCCACAAGTGTGTTCACGCCATTACACATTCACTTAAGAAACCAGTGAGATCGGCTGTTGCTGAGTCGCCCAGGGAGTCATCACAGGAACGGAGGCCTTCGGCTCAATCACCAGAGAAACATGAAAAAGCGTCACAACGACCTTCGGTTCAATCACCACAGAAAAGGGAAGAAGCGTCATCTCCGAAAGAAATTCCGCGATCCACAAAGCAATATCCTCTTCAGCAAGTGCCAATCGAGGTATATCTCCTTGAATATCCAGTCAAATCACCTCACTGAGAAACCGCATTTTCAAACAGTATTCGTAGGTATTGGTAGGTGGTCTAGTGAAAATGAGCCGATTTCCAGTCGGTCCAGAGGCCAAATCTCGGAGTGGCATTCGCACAGTGCAACTAAGCCTTGCATCTCTGAGAATGGAACATTGGTACCAGATTCCTATTGGTGGAAGAACAACTGTCTTCTACATAGCCCGGTCTCCGCAAGTCATCGTATAGGCATATCGCATTCAACAATCACCGCGATTAAGTCAAGCCATCGTTTCTACCAGTTATTTTTCTTACCTGTAGTTATTTTCTACACATTGGTGGAAAACACAGCCGCAGGGCCAGTATGAACCCTTCTTGTTCACAGAATGTACGGCAACAAGTAAAGCACACAAAAAAATGGATTTTCTGCCTGCACGGGAAAGTTGGTGATTGTACGGAAGTGAGGG